AATAACAGGTAAATGAACGATTTTTTTTTTTAATTATTTGACTATATATGAATGCTTGTGTATAAATACACAAACAATACACAATACACAACCTGAAGAGCCGGTTCGGAGCCGAAAGAGCCGGCTCTTTTTAGTGAGCCGAGCCGAAAGAGCCGGTTCTCTAAAAAGAGCTGGAAATCCCATCACTAGTGGCCATGGAAGTAATTGGAATACTTGAAGTCAATGATTTGGATGGATGAGTGAATACTTTTAGCAATATGGTGTATGTTAAATTATCTCCTGCTTTGAAATTTGTGTATTTACAACTTTGTGTGGAAAGAAAATGCACTGTACTTACAGAGAGATAGTAGTGTTTATGCATTTAACCAGGACAGCTAAGCACAAATAGTACCAGCATCAGAATAGCAGTCATGATATACCGATCTGCTGAAAAAGAAAGGGAGTTGAATTCAATGTACCCTTCTTTATTCCTGAACTAACTGGCAGTGAGCAAACTCTGAAAACATTAGACAATATTGGACTCTTGCTTTGTATAAACATCATTAGAAAATAACAGAATCATTCTTGTGTCTCGTGTCAAACACCTGAACATGATCAGAGTTGAACCATAGATGTAAAGAGCAGATGTTCATTAGATTATGGTGGCAGAAAGTTTTGTTGTCATATGTCTTGTGCGTTTACAATAACTCATTTATATATTCTCTAATCACAGACTGACTCATTGTGTACTCTCAGACGCTCACTGTGAGGTTGTGGCCTCAGCTCTGAAGTCTAACCCCTCTCATCTAACAGAGCTGGACATGAGTAAAAACAACCTGGAGGATTCAGGGGTGAAACTGCTCTCAGCTGGACTGGAGAGTCCAAACTGTCAGCTGAAGACTCTGAGGTCAGTTCACTGACTCCAGCTGTTTTTTTGTTTGTTTGTTTGTTTGTATATTTCAGATAATATTAAACAATATTTATTTTTAAAATGTTCATGATTTTCCGTAACACAAATCTGAAGACATTTCAGTGCATCTAAAAAAATTTTTGTCTTTCTAAATGACCAAACATATGTTTTTCATTTTGGCTCCAAGTAGAACTTAAAGATATGAAAAGAGATTAACTAACCACTGACACAAGTTGAAATGTTTGACAGGACAGTTTTTAAGCCTCCAAAGGTTCATGTTGTGTTCCATCAGTCAGTGAAGATGAAGTCAGGATGTGAATGAAGCTTTTGAAAATCTAATGATAGCAGATAAAGGCAGGCTGCTTAGCCATCTGTATAAATATATATTTAGAGACATGGCTCAAATAGAATATAGAAAGATGAATGCAAAAGCTAATAAAGGTACAGTTAGGAGCTCTTTCTCAGATGACTGTGTTTGAGTTGTGATATTGTGTATATAGTACATGAAGAAATATTTGATGAGTAAGAAATGTGAACGTTTAAACAGCACCGCAAACATATATATATATGTTGTTTTACTGCTGCTCATTTAAAACTGACAAGATGTACAAGTCATTTACAAAGCCAGCAGGCTCTGACTACAAAGATTTGAAAAAGTCAAGTATTAAATCAAATATGACTGAAAGTACTCATTGAGATGTTCAAATGTATTGTAAATGTATTGTATCTATAACTAGTGAGTCCTGGCAGTCTGACCTACCTGCTGTTTGTGTCTAAGAAGGAGACAAGTGGAATGGTGATTGGTAATAGCAGAATGATTTAGGATGCGTGCCTTGTTTGTTGGAAATAATCTTGTTGATAAGAACATATAAGAATGAATCACAAATTATTTTGTCTATATGTTTTGTTCTTTATTCAGATTGAAGGACTGCTGGTTGTCAGTTAACAGCTGTGAGTCTCTGCTGTCTGCTCTGGATTCCAGTCCTTCCCATCTGAGAGAACTTGACCTGAGTAAAAACCATCTGCATGATTTACATGTGAAACAACTGTGTGGTTTTCTGGAGAGTCCACACTGTAGACTGGAGACTCTGAGGTTAATCACCATGTTTTACTTTTTGTGCTAGGATGATTATAATGTGAAAGCTGTGGTCACACTAAATTCAAAATCCACCCTGGGGATCTTCATGTTAAAGTCCATTCTCTTCTTTAGTTGTTTAGTTCATTCACTGAAGCAAAAACCTAAAATAATTGTTCTCAACTTATGACCCAACTTAGCCTGCTATGGCTCCTGAACTTTATTAATTCAGAGAGGGCTCCCTGATTAACTGTATACTGTTCTTTCAGTTCTAAGTGCATAACAGGTTTGACATTAACCACTGAATTATTCATTGTATAGTTCATATAATTATGATTGACAGAAAACTATTTTGAATAGTTAAAGATTTTGATTATTTTCAGCAAAGAAAATACGAAAAATGCCATTGGCTTAAGCTTCAGTTTGAAAATATGTTATGTTGGTATCTTAATTGAACAGTAAACTCCATATCTTTGGCTTTGGAGAGATGGCCATGCAAAACAGCACATTTAAGACAAGAGGACAGACAGAAAACACCTTTTCTGTGAATTCAGCTATCAAGGTTGAGTCACAGAGTATTTCTCCTAGCTTATTTCTTCCACTGAGGAAGCTATCAGTCTGAGCACTGCAACATGCTTTAAACAGAGAGGTTGGAGTTGGCATAAGCAGGAATGGTTTTCACATGAAAAAGCTACTAAATGAGGAAAAACATTCAGCTTTGCTGACAAAGGCAGCTCTCGGTTGCTGTGGCCTTCTTATTATGTAGCATATCCCACTGGCTCTTTAAAATGGTCTGTGCTAGCTTATATAGCATAAGACACTGACATAATTTTTTTAATTCGGTTTGGATTTATTTAGCATTATGAGATATGTAAAACAACAAAACAGAATCCTCTTTATCATCCACAATACAAAGCTGTTCTGACATGAAATAGTAAATATATTATAAATATATAATAAATATAAAACAGCGGGGAAGAGGAACAGTGATGAAGGGCAAAACACAAAAGCCAACAAAAGCAGACAAAAAATACATATATCAATCACCTGGATCACCTGTTGAGAAAGAAAAAAGAGAAAACAACCAAAAAAGAGAGAACAATATAATAAAAAACGTCATCGTGATGATCTATGTGAATATAACAGTAAATACTAAATGTTAAACATTGTTGTGCAACACGTAAGATCGACAGTGCACAGTGTGCTTTGAGGTAGCAGCCAAAAAGGGTGTAGTTTGTGTCTGTGAGCAACCGTGTGTAACCTGTGAGCATGAGCGCTCTTGTATTTAAAAGGTTCCTTCATGTAATGATCTGTTAGAGGGTGTGGGGGGGGCATAGCCCCGTCCTCCAGGGCATGAAGCAGGTATGGAGGAGATCCAGGCTCCAGACATCCAGAGACCCTCAGAGCACAAGAGAACAAGGAAGACCAACAGAGGGGCAACCTTGCCACTCTCCTGGAAAGAGCTGAGGAGAGTCCCAGATGAGGGGTTACTCAGCATCCCCGGAGTAGAAGCCAGGGGGGGTTGCAGTGACGCGCCCGTGAGCTCCGCTGGCAGCCAGCTGTGCCAGAGTGACCGAGCCCCAGGCCGAGAGGCCGGGGGCACCCCGCCTCCGAAGTGGCCTGAGCGTGCCCCAGGTTCCAGGCCCTGATAAGCAGCCACCAGGAGTGAGCCGTTGCGTACCCGGACGCCCATCCCCGGACACAAAGAACCACCGATGCACTCATGTTTGAGGGCGTCTGCCACTGGCAGGGGAAGTGGTGGGGGGAGATAGGCCTCCATACCTTGGAGGGCCTGAGATGTCCCTGGAGAGGTAGCGTCTGATACCCAACCTGACATATAGACACAGACAAACAGGAACACACAGACACAAACATCCATTCCCACCCTCATGCTCTCATAGGCAATTACTCAGCACTCACCCAACGTGGAGACAGACATAAAGAGACCCTGTACACACGATCACACTCCCCAAGCGTACTCTATACCCCAGGTCTAGGTACCCTTGCCCCTGGAGGGGGAAACTGCACCCAGACCCAGGTAGTGTTACCCTCTTCCCTGGGGTGGAGAAAAGCAGACCGCCCCGACTCCGCAGCAGCAGGGAGGCCCCACATTTCAGACCCCAATCGGACGTCCAACTCCTCCTCCCAGCCCCCCCGCCCCAACAGGCAACAGAGAATGTGGGTGTGTGAAGACTCCAAAGGAAGCTAACAAACTCATAAATTATTATTAGACTCATTATTAGACTCAGTTGTCTTCTCTCAAACTGTAACATATCACAGAAACCGAAGAATTAACATTATTTAATTTAAGAACCCCTCCTTTGTCTGTATAACAGCTTAGTCCAGCTGTATAACAGCTGGACTAAGCAGCACTGTCATTCTCCCGTGCTCAGCCCACTTTCCTGTCTGCTTTTCACACCTCCCTATCAGTAAAGGCAGAAATGCAGAAAAATCTCAGACAGTTTTTTTTTTCCTGTATAATGTTATTAAAATTAAAAACATGCTCTCTGACGGTTTGAGTGCTTCTGACAGAATCATCTTGGTTTTATTTATTTATTTATTTATTTTACTAAACCTCTTCTTACACAGAAAAATGTTCTGCATAATGAATTGTTTGTTTTTATTCAGACTGGGAGGCTGCCGTTTGTCAGAGAGCAACTGTACCTCTCTAGTGTCAGCGCTGAAATCCAACCCCTCACATCTAAGAGAACTAGACCTGAGCTCTAATGACAACATGCAGGATTCAGGAGTAAAGCAGCTGTGTGGTTTTCTGGAGAATCCACACTGTCGACTGGAGACTCTGAGGTTGGACATCATGTTTTAGTTGTGCTGAGATGAATATGATGTGAAAATTTGCACTAAATTGGAGATGCAATTTAGAACGATCAATTCATAATTATGTCTGAACATATTACAAAACACTGAATAAGTTTAAACAACGGTTTTGGTTACATTGTTTTTTGTTTCCAATTGTATTCAGATTGGAACGCTGCGGTTTGTCAGAGATCAGCTGTGCTGCTCTTGTCTCAACTGTTAAATCCACACCCTCCTATCTGAAACATCTGGATCTGAGTGAAAACAGGAACCTGCAGGATTCAGGTGTGGAGCTGCTGTGTGGTTTTCTGGAGAGTCCACACTGTATACTGGAGACTCTGAGGTCAGACACAGGGTTTTAGTTTTGTGCCAAGATGAATATGATGTGAAAATTGTGCTGACACTAAACTAAAATGATAGGGCTGATATTATACTGATCCATACTGAGCATCTGGAGCATATGGTGTATGGACGATCTGATATCCTCGTGTTGGCGTTGTTCCCTCGTCATCAATACAACAATAATGTTGTTCCAGGTTCAACATTACAAGTGACCAATCACCTTCTCCTGACAGCATCCGCGACCTCGAAAAAAACAAACGCCTTCAAAAAATCTACTTCACTTGCGAGAAGAGAAACCGCCTCTGTAAGGACAATATGTATAATGCTTACCATTTATTAAAGAAAAGTATCCTGAAATTCAAAGAAATCAAGTTCCTGTATCGGCGGACAGAAGCGGTTGTGAATTAGATTTTTTTAAGGTGGTATTTTTCAAAGGCACAAAAGGGGGACGTCACAACAATGTGATTGGTCACTTGCAATGTTGAACCTGGAACAACATTTATTATGATGATGTGGGAACAACACCGACACGAGGATATCAGATCATCCTATGGGGACATAGTTGTTAGGTTTTGTATTGTTGATTGTCATTTATGCTTAGAAATATCTACTCATATATGCTTAGAGTTTTATAATTAGTTGTAGATTGGTAGAGGTTTGATCCTTGATAGTCTGCAAACTTTGTGTGCATTAGAGAGCACTCTGGGAGCACGAGAGAGGTCGTACCTTCTCTTATTGTTTTATGGTAGGATAAACGTGGCTATATCTGTTTTAGGCTAAGTGCCTTTTGCTTAGATGAACCGCTGGACTTCCAGACCAGCAGGGTTAGGGAAGTCATTTATGGGGTCACACTCTGACCCCCCACACACATACAAACACACACACACTTACACAACGCACAGACACGGTACTCTTTGTTTGTATGTAGACGTCATATGTTAATGAAGCTATGTATAGTCATGTAACCTCAATAAAAGAGCAGTGTTACGGGGGAGCGGACGAGAGCAACTGGGGTCAAGCGAAGGAACGGCGTTTGTCCGGTTCTCTGCCGTGCACGAGAAACATGAAGAACTTTGTCTACTTCGTGTCTTGCTTGCTGTGTAATTATATTGTACAAAAGGCCCCGTAGTTATGGTTTTATTCTGTTCAGTTGTTAGTTCACCTGTAGTTTTTAGAGTGGCCAGTAGAGGTCACCCCACCGCTTTGTATGAGAGACTATGTCCAGGGAGAGACGTGGGCAAAGCACCTGAGCTTTTCTGCTCCAGATTACTGGCAGAGAATTGGTTATCCCGTGAGAAGTGTGCGTTAATGAGCAACAGACCACACACACACATCCATGCCCACGCACCTAAACCTGTATGCAATACCTGCTCCTCTGACAACCTCTGTTACCTTCAACTGTGTGAAGTCAATACAAGAGTCTGCACTATCCTCGGTGTCTTCATTGTCTCCCTTCTGAACATTCATCCGGGCCTTGAGCAGTGTTCTGGCCGACACTCCGGGGAGTGGTAGCTGCAAACCTGAACTAGCACCTTACAGTCCTTCCAGTACAAGCTATCTATCCAACATATATTCAATTCAATTCAATTCAATTCAATTTTATTTATATAGCGCCAAATCACAACATAAGTCGCCTCAAGGCGCTTCATAGATACAGAGAAAAAAACCCAACAATCATATGACCCCCTATGAGCAAGCACTTTGGCAACAGTGGGAAGGAAAAACTCCCTTTTAACAGGAAGAAACCTCCGGCAGAACCAGGCTCAGGGAGGGGCGGCCATCTGCTGCGACCGGTTGGGGTGAGAGAAGGAAGACAGGATAAAGACATGCTGTGGAAGAGAGACAGAGGTTAATAACAGATATGATTTAATGCAGAGAGGTCTGTTAATACATAGTGAGTGAGAAAGGTGACTGGAAAGGAAAAACTCAATGCATCATGGGAATCCCCCGGCAGCCTATGTCTATTGCAGCATAACTAAGGGAGGATTCAGGGTCACCTGGTCCAGCCCTAACTATATGCTTTAGCAAAAAGGAAAGTTTTAAGCCTAATCTTAAAAGTAGAGATAGTGTCTGTCTCCCGAATCCAAACTGGAAGCTGGTTCCATAGAAGAGGGGCCTGAAAACTGAAGGCTCTCCCTCCCATTCTACTTTTAAATACTCTAGGAACAACAAGTAGGCCTGCAGAGCAAGAGCGAAGTGCTCTAATAGGGTGATATGGTACTACAAGGTCATTGAGATAAGATGGGGCCTGATTATTTAAGACCTTGTATGTGAGGAGCAGGATTTTGAATTCAATTCTGGATTTAACAGGAAGCCAATGAAGGGAAGCCAAAACAGGAGAAATATGCTCTCTCTTTCTAGTCCCTGTCAGTACTCTTGCTGCAGCGTTTTGGATTAGCTGAAGGCTTTTCAGTGAGTTTTTTGGACATCCTGATAATAATGAATTACAGTCGTCCAGCCTGGAAGTAATAAATGCATGAACTAGTTTTTCAGCGTCACTCTGAGACAGGATATTTCTAATTTTAGAGATGTTGCGCAAATGGAAGAACGCAGTCTTACATATTTGTTTAATATGTGCATTGAAGGACATGTCCTGGTCAAAAATGACTCCAAGGTTCCTCACAGCGTTACTGGAGGCCAAGGTAATGCCATCCAGAGTAAGAATCTGCTTAGATACCATATTTCTAGGCTTTTCAGGGCCGAGTACAATAACCTCAGTTTTATCTGAATTAAGAAGCAGAAAGTTAGCGGCCATCCAGGTCTTTATGTCTTTAAGACATTCCTGCAGTTTAACTAATTGGTGTGTGTTATCTGGCTTCATGGACAGATAGAGCTGGGTGTCATCTGCATAGCAGTGAAAATGTATGCTATGTCTTCTAATGATACTGCCTAAGGGAAGCATGTATAATGTAAACAGAATTGGTCCTAGCACTGAACCCTGTGGAACGTTCCAGCGAATAGGTTCAAGCTACAAACCTATCAATAGTCTTCTATTATTTATTGCAGCAGAACAATGTTGAGATTTGAAAAGTTAAAACAATGATACTCTTGATAACTTGTGGCTCACAGTGTGTATCCAGCCTGCCAAAGGGTTCTAACTTGCCTGCTGACCGTTCCCATCTCAGAGACTTGACATTGATTGATTGTGCATTGTTTTTACTCACAGTTAGTATAAGACATTGCAGCATAACTCTTCATAAAATGTACTTTGTGACAAAGCCAGACTTCAGGAACATGAGGGTAAATAAGTAGGATGGTAACCTTCCATAAAAACCTTCTATGGATAATACTTGATAAATATCCAGAAAACTTCACTTAACATTTAAATCTATCGGACATTTAAATAAAACCAAAAATCATGTTTAACAAGAAAACATTCCGTATTAAAACAGCTGTTTGGGGTTTCTGCTCTCTAATCTTCTGCATCAAGGTTATCAAAGACTGAACGATTTCAAGAAGAACTTTAACTAATAATATATATTTTTCTTTTTTCAGATTAAAGAACTGCAGGTTGTCAAAGATCAGCTGTTCTTATCTGGTCTCAGCTCTTGCTAAGTCCAACTCCTCCCATCTGAGAGAGCTTGATGTGAGCCACAACAACACACTATTGGATTCAGGAGTGAAGCAGCTGTGTGGTTTTCTAGGGAGTCCACACTGTAGACTGGAAACTCTGAGGTCAGTCACCATGTTTTAGCTGTGCTGAGACAAATATGTGAAAGCTGTGCTGACATTAAACTGCAGACATGTGGCTGACGTTATACTGAATCACAGTAAGAATCACAGCATGTGTAATAATTGCACACTTTCATTACCTTTATGCTTCTAAAAGGCATGCTGGGTAATAATAGCTACAGCTGTGAGAGGCGCAATTGCCACAGAACTCTCAAGAAAGGAAACGTGGAAAGGAGGGTCAAGAAAAGAGGCCGGAACTAAGCTCAACTGCAACAGAGGAACCGTCCTCTAGACATTTTTTGTTCTTAAACCTCATATTCTCAGATAGGATTGTATTGGAATATTCCTGAGAATTACAAAAGAAACTGAAAGTCTGGTACAAAATACAAAACTTCCAAAAATTCCTGAACTGAAGTCAGGGCTTTAAAAAAAAAGCCTAATTTTACTTAGTTTAAACTGATAGTTATTTATTGTACTCAATAAAAAATGCAACGCTCCCATACCCACCCGTCTGACAACGAGCCAGCTATAACAACAGCTGGCTATAAGCTAATGTTGTGCCAGACAATGCTCGACTTCAGTGTTCTAAAAACACACACTTTCCCACCAATAAACAGTTTGATTGCATTCTCACATCATATGAGTGTTTATTTGCTAATTCTCTTGTCCAAAATGTTTCATTCTGTAAATTCTCTTCCAAATTCAACCAGAAGGTTGGAAACTTGGAGATTTATAATACAACCAGTTTCTAAAGATGTAACAAGTGGTGGAGCTGCAGACTTTTTTGGTTTGACTGTTTCAACCTGCATCCTTTTGGTTTGAGTTGTTTGAAGTTTCTGTTTTCTGAATTTTTACATTTTGTAACGTCTTCAGCCCCGAAAAGATCCCAAAGCTTTGTCTGATAAATGTACCTATTTTATTCTTTATCCAGACTGGGGAACTGTGGTTTGTCAGAAATCAGCTGTGATTATCTGGCCTCAACTCTAAAGTCCAGACCCTCTCATCTAAGAGAACTTGACCTAAGTGGCAATAAAAATCTGCAGGATTCTGGAGTAGAGCAGCTGTGTGGTTTTCTGGAGAGCCCACACTGTCGACTGGAGACTTTGAGGTCAGACACAGTTGTGATGCAACATAATATCCAATATTATAAGGGTAAAGCCGAGGATCTTCAGTCACTGTAGCATGTTGATGCTTTAAATCAGATTCAGACAATGCTGTTGACATTGATGTACTTTCTGTACCTTTCTAGCTACAGTTTTAGACAACATCTGTCTCTGTATGGAGTTCAAAGATGATGAGGACAAGGGGATGTCCAAATTTATGGGCTGCATCCTCTTGAGGCCGCATTTGTAGGCCGATTACGTCACAGCGACGCGACGAAGGCTGTCCAAATTCTTGGCTCCTCCAAATGCAGCCGACAAATGCGTCCTCCTTTCCCCCGAATTTAAAGGATGGGTCGGGTGTGTCCTTCGTGGCCCACCATATCCCAGAATTCATAGCGTGGCCCAGCCAAACTCCAGTTTCCAACAATGGCGGCTGCTACTAAGTTTTAAAATTACTCTTATTAATCTTTTTTTTTTTTGGCCTGTCCCGTTTGGCTCTTTTGCATCAGAATTGTTGTCTAAAGGCAAAGAAAGATGCCCAATGGATTTACTTTACCAAACTGACCATCCCAGCCTTGCCGTAATGGTCCATTTGATTCACCTTTTATTGTTTATTTTATTTTCACTTACTGAATACGGGACAGACTTGACTGGGGGAAAAAAGGGGAGAAAGAAAGAGGGAAAGAGAAACAGCTGAGAAGAGGGACGGGGGAGAAGGGCAAAAGACAAAAACCAACAGAACGGGCAGAGAAAAAAAAATGCATCTATCAATCACCTGGATCACCTGCTGAGAAAGAAAAAAGAGAGCAAGCAGAAGAGAACAAGAGTAATAGAATAAACAACATCACAATGATATATGGAAATATGACAGTAAAGTCAGGACACTGGAGTAAACTCCAGTGTCCTGTTATATTTTAGATTGCAAGGAGCAGACGGCCGAGTTTATTAAACTCCACCGAGACAGCGGTGACGCTAATCTGAAGGCTGGACCGTCCCATTGCACTGCAGTTTACTTCCAGCCTACCCGACCTTCTGAGGACCCGGCCTTCGCGGTCTACGTGGGCCGGGTCCTCAGGAGGACGCAGCCTATGAATTTGGACACCCCTTAACCTTAGTTACTCTAGGCCAGAATAATAGTCTACAGCGGTCTATTAATGCAAACACAAAAGAATAATAAACTGAGACGTGGGATGAACAAAAGATACCAGAAATGAACCAAAAATGTTTTTGTTCAAGAGGTGTGTCATAACTACTGGACAGACTCACGCGCAGACAGAGTTCTTTGCAAATAAAAGAAGACAATTTATTTACAACAGGGAACACACCCTTTAGCGCTATACTTTGAGTTGGATCCAGGGAGAGGGGGCAATCCACACACACACTTCCTCTTCAGCACAGTCACCGCCAGAGCTCCTCCACACACACTCACTCCTTTTCAGCCGCACTCGCTCCAAAACTCCACTCATGCAGGGTCCGTAATCTGGTCCAGAAGGGGGATATCTACACACAGCATGCAACAGTTAGTTCCACAGGCAAATATACACAAGGCGCTCTTTTGATCAAGCCAAGAGCACGAACTCAGGAGATTCCACATTCCAGCGGCGAGCTACTCTGTGCCACTGCCTTAAATAGCAGCTGGGGAAATCAGCCAGATCAGCAGCAGGTGGTGACAATCACACGGGTGTGTGGGCCAAGAGCGAGAGCCCGTAACGAGCTCCGCCCAGGCAGGAGGAAAAACAACAACAACACCTGTAGCCAGCATGAGGCAGCCAGAGAGACAAGGGGACCGTGACAAGATGTCTGTTCAAGAGATGTCTGTTGTTTCTAGACTCCTGAAATGTGTATGAGCTACAATAAAGCTATGAAATGGCACATTGTGCAACAACAATAATAATACTAACATCAAGTTAGTACAACTTATAAAAAAGAAATATTAATGGAAAAAAACACCGACTTCATCTACAATAAATTCTTTCAAAAACAATGGTTAAGGATTTGAAATTAATGACTTATTAGTTTTATCTGACAGATATTCATTTGCAGTTGTTTTCATTTAATAACCATTTTTCTGTTCTCTCTCTGAACGATGAAAAACTGAACGATTTCAAGCAGAAACTTTTGAGCTTACAAATGTATTTTGTTTTATTCAGACTGGAGGACTGCAGCTTGTGTGAACACAGCTGCAGATTTCTGGTGTCAGCTCTGAAGTCCAACCCCTCCTTTCTTAGAGAGCTGGACCTGAGCTCCAACTACAAACTGCAGGATTTAGGAGTGGAGCGTTTGTGTGGTTTTCTGGAGAGTCCACAGTGCAGACTGGAAACTCTGAGGTCAGTCACCATGTTTTCAAGTTTTGTTTTCCACTGACCTGCAGACATTAGACTGATATACTGACCCACACTGTGGTTCTTCATAATGGAGTCTTAATTGTTAAAGCTGGAGATAAAAAGGTTGGCTCTAAAAGGATAAAACCATGTCAATCTGTGGCCACAGGCATGTTTAATAAAAGTAAACAATAAACAAAACTATATGATTTCAAGAATAAGTTTGTACAATAACCTTAAATCTTTTGCTTTTTACTCAGACTGGAGTACTGTGGTCTGTCAGAGATCAGCTGTGAGTATCTGGCTTCAGCGCTAAAGTCCAGCCCGTCCTATCTGAGCGAGCTGCGCCTGAGAGGAAACAACCTGCAGGAATCGGATCTGAAGCAGCTGTCTGAGCTTGTGGAGAATCCACAGTGGAGACTGGAGACTCTGGGGTCAGTAGAGGGTTGCAGTTTTTTTTAGTTAAATAACACTAAGCTGGAAGTAGATGTAAAAAATGTTTGACTCAAATAAAAATAAAAAGTTGACTTTAGAAAAAACTCATTGAAATGATATTGTTTAATACTTTACCTGAAATTAAGAAAAACAAGAACAGAAAATGAGTTTAGTTTTAGTCTTTTGTCAGTCTGGTCAGATCTGACAAATCAAGCTTCAAGTCCATATTTTTAAGTTCAGCTGAACCAATTTAAAAAATGTGATTTAATAAATATTCAGTATTTGTTGTTGTTGCTGTGTTTAGATAAAGATCCTATAAAGTTGTAGAGCAACCCAACAAACCAAAGATCTGCTTTGTGCAGAACTTTCTGACTGGAGAGAAAAAAATCAATTTTTAAATGTAATTTTTTAAAAATTAATAAAGCTGAGCTGAAGCTTCAAGCAAAGATGGATTATTCTACTCAAACTCTTCTGTTTGTATCTGCAGGGTTGACAGGATGATTGAACCTTCCAATGAAAACGCCTGTGAGTACTGACATGTCTCCTATTCACCAATATTTTATTAACAGCATCAAATATGTATATGACTGTGTGCTTATTTTAACATAGAAATCCTATAAATTATGTTGTATGGAGGTGTGGAAAATATTTGAAAAATGTATTTCAAACATGCTAAAATGCTACAAGGTTTAAATAAAAAGGCCATAAAACATTTTAACATCTTAAACATCTTAAAATTCAAAATTGCAATTTGATGATGAACAGGTATATTTCATGTTTTAGAAATCATAATAGTTAGAAGGTTACTACTCCTGAACTCCTCCTAGATATCTTTTCTTAGCCGGCTGCACTCAAACGCTGGACGTGGAGAAGCTCATAGCTGATGTCAGGCACTAACCCAGCAGCTTCACTGCATCAGAACCTTTTGACACTTCCACTCTCATATTTCGAGTTCAGCCCATAAACTTTGAAACAGCCTTCCTGCATCATCCCGTGAGGTCGACTGAGTATGCAGGCTGTTTCTTGCACACCCCATCATTGGATCACAGCAAATGTTTCTATGCAAATATTTATTGAGAATGCACGAGTGCAACTTTGTTGGGATATGCACACCTCTTTAATGTGTTTTCAACCAACCTGTGAATCCCCTTTGTGACTGTGCGCTTTGAAGAGTGCTCTCCTTATAGAGTTATTGTTATCTTTTAAAAATAGATGAGTGATACGCACGTTCAGCTACAGAGGGCAGTGCAACTGCCTGCTCTAATTAAATGGTTCAAGG